GCAGGAGTTTGCGGGCGAGCCTTGCGCGCCTTCCTTGGGTCACGTCGTGGCGAGGCAGAGGTGGGGGGGGAGGAACTTTTCGTCCGCTTGAAGACAAACTTTTTGCCCCATGTGCTTCTGCCTTGCGGTTTTTGTTTTTTTGCTTTCGCCTAGCGAACTTCCAACAAACAGGCCTTGGGGACGCGCACCTTTTACACGCTCAGTGAACTTGAACTCGCCAATTTTTACACACACACGATCCCCCCCCCACACCCCACCCGATCTTTCACGTCCATAAAGACGAGTCTCAGTTTCATGCGCCTCTCTGGTTGTGCGTGCCCCGGTTTCTCCCCTATCCTCCTGCCCCCCTGGGCGTATATGTGTATAGTGTGCAAAGCCACAAACGACACGTTGCCAGTTTTGTACACTCCGGTCCCAACGTGCAAGGCTTCCTAGACTGTGCAGTGACACACAACCGGCCTGGCCTACTGCCATCGCTCTCTGCCCCGCGCCAAAGACAACAACAGGACATGTCCTCAGTCGTACAAAAGACACCTTCAGGTCTGACCTGCCTCGACAGACAGGTGATCAAGGCGGCGCCGACCACAGTCCCCTTGGCTTAGACGCCACAGCTGCGCACCTCGGAGGATAGGGAGACGATCCCGCCCGCGCACCTCGGCTCCAGGCGCGCCGAGAGTAAAAAAAAAAAACCCAACTTAATACAAACCGCATAGGCACACACTAAAGTAGTCGCACCCGATCCCCCTCGTCCAGGAGGCCAAGCATAAAATGAACCGCATCCCGCTGCGTAAAGCCGCGCACCCTTTTGCGCTCCAGCCCCGCGATCGCCGCACACCCTCTTGGCCGAGGCTGACCGGAGGGAGCCCCAGACGGGCAATTTCCCGGACGCTCGGCAAGAGACCCTCCTCTACTCTCTCTTAGGGCATAACACTCGCACACCCCCCGGGGCATCACTTACCTCGTCTCGTCTTTCCTCTTCCCCACCTCACTCCCTGGTGCCAAGCCGACTCTCCCGCATACATACACAACGGTATCCTACCAGCCTTTTCCTGGGTGCCTGCGCTAAACTCTCTCCCCCACCCCGGTCTGGTCTCACACCTCGGCTGCTGGTTTGCCGCTGCCGCGCTGGCTGCTTGCTCGGGTCTCCAGCGGCGGGGCGAGCGCCCTCGCAGCGGCGGCCAAGTTGGGGAAAGTTGGAGCGCACGCCGCTCCAACTCCAGCGGGTCTCCCCGCGGCGCCACCACCGAGGGACCTCGGGGCTTCCCTTGTTTCCCTTCCCGATCGGCCCACCCAGAGTTGGCTCCACCACCGCCCGATGCCGGCTCTTGCAGTACGGGAAGGTAAATTCCCCCTCCCCTGCTCGATCTTTTCTTTTCCCTGACTGAGCTCAAAGTAGGAGCGCCGATTTCTTCCACCTCCGCTTCCCGCCAGCGGTCGCTTCCCCGCCGTGCGCGCCTCGCTCGCTCGCTCGTTGCCGCGCCTCTGACCGGGAGTTCTCTGAATACACGTGCAACTTCACATACCCAAGCAGCCAGCGATGATTTGCCCCTGGTACCTCATCTCTGCAAAAACGGCATGTCCCAGCTGAGCAAAGAGGAGGGTTGAGAAGAGGGAGTGGGCGCGCGGGTGTGTGTGGGGTATGTGCATCTGTGAAAAATCTGAGATCCTGTTAGTATTAGATACAATTTCCTGATCCTGTTCTTTTTTTTTTTTTTTGCAAGAGCTTTACAAGCCTCCTCATCAAATCCGTAGATGCAACCGTGCATTTCCCCCCCTCCCTCCTCCAGTTCTTTCCCCACCTCTTCTTACCCCAACCTGTTTTGTGGAGACTTGTTGAAAGTACCCTTGGTTTCTTCTCGACTATAGAGCCCAAAGTTTTGCCTGCGGGAGAGCACAGGAGCAACTGCAGCCTTTTGCTTAGGAGCTGAGTGCTGACCGTGGCGATCACACCGTTGCAGCGCTGTTTCTATTGGTAAGTATAGGAGAACCAGTAGAAACTTTTGAGAAATTTCTACCCCAGCAAAATCTCCACTGTAGAAGAGCAACTGAACCTCTCTGGTAACAGAAGTACAAACCTCCTGTTTGCCAGATCTGTGGGCTCAGCTTTTGGACTCCAGGTGGTGAGGGAGTTGAGGACACATGAAAATAGAGTTTCTTTTGTTTTTAAGCTAAGAAAATCAGGAGCTTACCAAAGAATGATAAGTGCTGTCATAAAATAGGATGACACTTCTCCCCCATGTCGTCCCACCCTACTTGATAACTATTAATTATTTCCAAGTCATTGTGTTCGAATATCATTGCTGGGCTGATTAGTGAGTGTATTGATTTTACAGTGTCTCTATCTGACATGGTTTAATTTTTTCCCATTTGCTGCAAGATGGCATAGAAGGATCCAAAGCACGGACAGAACTATGAAAGGCAGCAGCCCAACGTGTGTTGAATTGATTCTGGGTGGGAGTGCTGGAATTGCATGCCAAATATGGCCAGGGAAAAAAAAATCTGCTGGTTCTGTTAAAAACAAAAGCAAAAATATTCCCAGCTCTTTTAGAACAATGAGCCCAACCAACGTGCAGCTGTTTGCAGTGGCTTATGAACATTAAAACCTTCTGAATTCTGCTCTTAGAAGTTTAAGGTTTCATTTTTGGTCCCTGTTATGAGAATGAGTAAAGTGAACAATATTTGCATTGAATAAGTCTGAGCTTGTGTCTATTGAGTGGTAATGCTTTTAAAAATCCTGCATACATTTTCTTTACATTTTCATCTGTGACTATAATAATAGCATTTTTCTTTGTCTGGTTGTACAAGGCGTCATGAGATCTAATAGCATTTATGTACACTGTAGATGACTGTGGCTGATATGTTCATGCCATTTATTTATGGCATTTTCTCTAATTGTCAGATGCAGAAGACGAAGAAAACATTTCAAAACATGTTGGGATTTTTTAATGAATGAATGGAGGCAAATCCCATCTTCTAAGATTAAAAATGAGATCCCACTCCTTGAAATAGCCATAGTTCTATTAGTAGGAATATGAATCTTGAGGACAATTAACAAATCTGGACTGCTCAAAAAATATGTAGTGGTTTTTTTTTTAAAGATAAAAATTAAAAACAGCTAGCATTATGCATTATCAAAGAGTGTGGAATTTTTTTCCCCATTAGCTGTTGTTTAAAATATGTCAGCTAGAATCTCATTGGAAAAAGGTATTTCAGCTTTAACATCTTGCATTGGCCGCATTCTTTCCCTTCAGTCTTTGGATTAGTCATTGTATGGGGGGGGGGATAACTTTTTTTAAAAAGTAAAGTAAACAGCCTCTAACAAGTGAACCTTGACAACCCAGATTAAGGAAGGCAGTAGAGATCAAACAAAGCTGCTGCTGGGCTGTTGTTAGGCGCTGCTTCACTGAAAGATCTGGACTATTCTAGCAGGCAGCAAGACTTCTATGTCCACTTATGCAGAAATGGACCATTGCAAATACTGATATTTGTTGTGAAAACCTAAAGATAGCTTGGGAGAAGGCCTGTTTGTGCTGTTAGGAGTGAAACTTTTAAACTTAGTTAATTTAAGGAGAGGCATTTTCTGGTTGGACTGAATTGTATACAGTATTTGTGCTGCATGGATCTATGACTGACTTCCTAAGACACCTGGAAGTGCAGAGAAGAGACCTGAGTTCCCAAGTATATGTGGGGCTTGGAGATGGCAAAGAAATGATAATAAAGTTCAGTTCTTCAGTTACAGATTCTAGGCATGAACAAAGACATTTGAGGATTTCTGGAAGCATTATTCTGATATGTACTAGAGCAGTTCAATTGCAACATAGCTTTATGGTACACTTTTCATGGAGTTTTGGATTGTCAAAGTAATACATCCCTCCCTGACTCTGTAATGTACAAATCCTTGTAATGCTTAATAGTTTGGCTGTATTTTATCTTTAAAATAATAAAAACCAAGCTAATATTGTATGTTATGTTTCAGAGCACTAATACCAACTGTTGCATTGATTTTGTATAATATGAAGAACAAACCATTAGTCATAATTGTAAGTTTACAGTTGCAACCTTAGACTGCAATCATATTACCCATGTTTGCTTGGAAATAACCACTATCAGTACAGTGAGACTTACTTTTGAGCAAAGTATCAGTGCATAGGATTGTATCTTAGTCTTGGTTCAATTCTTTATTTTGTTTGAAATACTATTTTTGTAGTTGTCTTTAAATGCTATTATTTGCAACTGTTACTTGCAACCTACATTCTTACCATTAATTCTTACTGTTAGCAAAGGATATTTCAAAACTTACATACTCCTACATTGAAATATTTATATCTATAATGTAGATCTATATATACCACTAGTACAGCAGGAAAATAAGTGTCAGTGAATAAAACACCCAAACTGATTTGAACAGTTATTTTGCGGATCACAAAAGCAAGAATGCATATTTAGAAACTGCACATTTTACAACAATATGAACAGCTCACTGCATTGTTAGGTGTTTATTGTTAAAGATATTGTTTTTATTATCTGATTAAGTACATATATATTAAAAACACATATGTATGTAATTAAGCCATTTAAAACAATATTCACTTTTTAAAAGAAAAAGCTGTGTTGCCTACTTCTACCCCAGCTTTCCACTTATAAATGCAATATTTTTTCATTTATGTTGTAGTAGTGAAATTAAACCCACTTCTGTCCAGGATACAAGTTTATATAAGATTTTTGGAAGGACAGTAAAGCAGAAATTACAGGTGAAAACAGATATTTTAACTGGGTTTATGAAATTAGATGTAGCAACAGTACATGGAAAACTTTTCCACACTGAACATAGTTGGTATTCTTATAGTTTGCTTCTTTTTTGAATTGGAAGGTATTGAGTTTAATCTAAACTTATTATAACTAGTAAGAATTTCCACAGTCTACAGTGGAAGATGAATTTCACTCTCTGAATACAGTATTATTTTGTATAGATATATCAGCTTCCATGCTGCACTCCTTAATTCATATACAATACAGTATGTCCACAAGTTATTAAAAGATTTCACCTAGTGTGTTTTATCTATGCCAGTATTTTGTGTATAACACAATTTCACCAAGTTTATCCAGTGAGTTACATGACACAATAGTAGTCCTGTCATTAAAATGTTCTTGGAGGTGCTTCAGTAAAATTTCAATAGATTATAGGCTGACAGCATAAATTTTGTTTATGATTCTATGGCTTTAAGGTACTTATACTGAAAGAAACTGCTTTAACCCCAAGATTGAATGACATTAAGTAGTGAGAGTAGTCTTCTGAAGTGCTTCTACTGCCCTTTGCTCTTGTGATAATCTTAAATTACGATAACTTAATTGCAACTTCAAGGCACTGAACTGAAATGTTTTTAAATTCAGTAGGGCTTGGTGTATATATTGTGTATAATATAACTAGGACCCTATGTGAATATGTGTTTGTTTTGAAAGGAGACAGTTTTCCCAATAATTTTTCAGTCTTCGCGAATACAATTTTTCAGTCATTCAAAATGGATGTGATCTTTAACTCAAACAACTTCCACCTCAATGTGGGAGGAATTTTGGTTTTCCTTTCCTGCTTCCATGAAAGCTTCTTAGTTTATTCATGAATTACACAAAACATCAGGTGTGCATGTGTGTGTAGGTGCAGGTGTAGGTATGTATATGTACATATGTATGTGTCTGTATATGTGTGTGTGCATATGTGTGTGTGTATGTGTATGCAATACTATGTAGCATTCCATAGGAACTCAACTGAGGGTATATTATTCTTTTAAAAAATGATTCTTCAAATGAAATTTTACAGCTTTATGGCAGTATAAATAGTACTCTCTATTTATTTGAATTTCTGATTATGCAGAGATTCCTCACAATATTGGGAAGAAGTTGTGGTACAGTATGTCTGAACAGCACCATGGACCATGACTGTAAAAAGTCACCTCTTTCATCTTTTCCTCAGATCAGTTTCATTATATAGAACAACAACTTTTTAAAAATGCTCAAGATAAGTCAAAGGAGAAAGACAGATGTTCAGCATTAAAGCTGTGGCATTAGGAAGACAATGCTGTGTTATCGCCCTGCCTAACAGTATACCTAATTTAATGTGGAGCAATAATGACATGGGTGTATAGAATGAATCTAAACTATGTATGGAGTTGTTTTATGTCTTAATTTCTAAAGGGCATACTTGGTTTGTAGGTACGCCTGTTTATTTCAGGACATCAGTATTTATATTATGGTGGATGTCCATGTATAAGGCAATAGCACTTAGCTGACATATAGAGAGTGGATGGCAGGTTCTTTAATTTTTGTTAATTTGATGTGACAGGCTAACTGCTTTTGGCCATATGTGCAGTTCCACTGAGGCCCCAGCCCATCCAGTTTCCTGATTTGGAACGAGGTCTTGAACCCAGGGTCTCTCATCTCCGTAAGTACAGTACTGCACTGTTTCCAGTTGTCATCTGGCAGTAGAAGAAAAAGACTCCGTTTACACTGTAGTAGGCCCTTTTTAGTTTGCATTGCCATTATACCATAAATTCCTCATCTATTTTTGCTCATTGCTACCTCGTGTGATACACAATATCAGAATTAATTTGTGTAATGCTAGGAATAAAGAGGAAAATTTAAATGGCAGATTCCAGTATGTGGAATTTTAAAGCTTAGAACTCTTTTCAGCAAGTTATATAAACTGAGAGTCAGGGAAGAATAACCTTGCAATCAACTTTGAGAATACAAGTAGGCCTAGTAACCTATCCAAGATTATCAGTTTAGGATTCCTCATGGATTAGACTAGTAATGCAATTAAGTGATTCTCTAATATTTTTATGGTATGTAGAAGAAAATTATTTAACTTATTAAGTCGAAGAGTCGGACAACAAGGAGAAAATTAGTGAGGCTTTTTTAATTGTTGAAAATACTTGGATGCAGTTCAAAGGTGCTTTTTTTGCAGACTAGCTGAGTTAA